GAGAGAGAGAGAGATGGCTAACAGTTAGCTTGCAGTACCAGTCCAGGCCACCAGGCGCCACTATCATTTGGTACTGCATGCTAATTATCAGCTAGCCTTCATTTTTTCCCCACTCTCTCTTTCTTGTGGTGGTGCCTCTTGGGGAAGGGGGGAAAAGAAGAGAGATAGAGTTTTGAAAGAATAAAAAAAGCTTTTGAAGAGAGAGAAAAGGGTTTTTTTTGGAGGGAGAGGGAGAGAGAATCTACTTTTTTCCACCGGTTTTTTTTTGTTTTTTTTGTTCCCCCACACATTGTGGTTCAGGGCTTCAAAGTTTTCTTTGAGGAGGTAAGAGAGGCAGTTCCTTCTGCACAAAATGCAAAATAAAAAAAAAAGGCACAAAACATGAGATTGAGTAATGCATAATCATCACTATTTTTTCTTACATAACACTGTCAAATAATTGTTTAACTTGAACTGAAATGCCTAAAACTGAAATACAAATTTTAAAAATTATATATATATATATATATATAGTAAAACTTTTATTCAGCAAGGATGTGTTAAATTGTTAAGAAGTGATAGCAAAGATTTATAGCAATCTTTTAAAACCTCCCAGCTTTTCCGCCCTGTTTTCACTCAAAACGAAACTACTCTGTGTGCTGTGTGCACGTGAGACTGTTACTTAAAACTGTGCTTTATGCTCGACAGTATTTATTTATCGCGAGTTGTTCAAATCGCGGTAATCTATTACGGTTTTAATGATAATTAAAAGATGAAACGATAATACTAACCGTGGGGAATTTTATCATGATTTATCGTCAAACCGGTAATCGTTACATCCCTTACTACAATCATACTGATGAGGTGGGGACAAATTCACGGGACAGGCGTCGATGCCTCTATCGCACTATGATCGACTCATTACCGTGTGATAATAATGTGATAATGCACACCTGTTACGCCTGCAAACGGCTGAGTGAGATAAACAAACAGGTGGAAATGAACAGACTAATTACAAAGATCTCAGCACTTTTGGTCATGTGCAGACTGAAATGAACCTGAACTGATCTGTGAGTCGGTGATTCAATTAAAGCTGCCGAACTGTGGCTGTGATGATCATCAGTGCTTACAATGGATCTGCTGACTAATAGACTGTTCATAATAACAGCCAACAAAAACAAATAAAAGGAACATTTTTATTATTATTATTATTATTGTGCTTAACATACTTTATTATTTTTAAAACAATGTTTTTTTAATTTGGCTACTAAATACTACATTATTAACAGCATACAAAAGTATTGAATTGGTGGCTTGTTGATAAAGAAACGCACATTACTCAAGTAGAGTAACACGAATGCTGCTACCGTAATTTAATAGTTCCTTTGACAAAAAGCATCAGACAGCAATTCATATTTGCAGTACATGGTGAATATAACAAATATGATAGCTGCAAACATGAAATAGTGCAGCAAAGTTGAAGTTCAGAACAGAAGTCTCAGCATCGGATTTACACACCTTGCATCTTTAACAGATTACTTTTTTTTTCTTTTTTTTTATGCAGGATTCAGTGCACAGTCCATAAGATCTAACATCTGGATTTGCTAAAGTTTGCAAGGTTAGAGATAAATGTTTATTAGGACTTAATTATATGTATATACATATACTTTAAAAAATCATAGTGCTTGCCTTTCCATTATTAGATCAAACTACTAAAGACAAAAAATAAATAAAAATAATAATAAAAAAGATGGAGAATGGATGCTCCTGTGCATCTACATTCTGTCAAAATAAAAGTACTACTTCTGACTCATCGGCCAAACAAAAATACAGATAATTTATTTAATTAATAAATTATCTGCATTTGTGCTGGTAGCTGTGTTTTAAAACATACTCATTGGTTTCAAGCAACAAACCAGACACTAGCTGGTCTAACTTGGTTTTTAGAATGTGTTACAACCTAAGCTTCAATGTTTTACTATAAAAAACAAGGAGACAAATCTAAATATACGACAAAAGATAAGAACCACCAAATTAACATTCCTCGACTGAAATTATACCGTTTTATCACTTCCCATGCTGAAATTTAAAACCGTAATCAAATAAAACATGCAAATTGTAAGAAAAGCAGTCATTTTTAAATTTACATGATCAAAAGTCAATATATTCTTGCATCACAACTTAAGTAATATATAGAACAGTGTGGATAGCACCTCTTAATTACAGGTATGTCCATCAGAAGAAGAGCCAGGAGGCATTATTAGTGTGCACAGGTACGTTCTTTCACCGATTCACTTCGAAAACCTGCTCTGAACTGCGGTAACTATGAGCAGAATTTCAACACTGTCATCTAATGAGAATTTATTACTCTCAGGCTATTTCAGGAGATGACTGCAAGAGATTAGGCTGACAGCCCTAGTTTCCTTGAACCAGAACACACTGATACGTTCCTGTCATGAAAAACACTGGCATAAAAAAAGGAGTAAAACTAAATAAATAAAATAAATACATTTATTTTGTTTGTATTTTTTTGTTCTTTTTACTATTTTACATTTAAATGAAAGTGGTGAAAAAAGAAATATCTCCTCTTAAATTTCATCTGAGTGGGAAACTCAAAAAAGCCTTTTCAATTTATATGCTAATGATCTCTGAATTAAAATTTAATAACTGGGAGATATTGAAAAGCATACTTGAATTATACAAAAAATAAATCCTGAAAGAATAGACTAAAATTAGAAATTCAGGGCAGCACACAGGCCAGCGCTGAGCCCTTAAACGCTCGTGATTAAATTTTTGATGGAAATCAAAATTGCAAAACAAGCAGGAGATGAAGAGACTGAACCTGCTCCATCGTGACACTAAAAAACTAAAGAGAGGGGTGGGTGGGTGTGTGTGTGTGTGAGTGAGAGAGAGAGAGCAGGGCAGATATGTACACTTAAAAAAAATAAAAATAAAAAATAAAAAATATATCATTAAAGCCCCATAATTGTGTGTTGTGCATTTATTACATTATTATTCATTGCCATTTTATTTATACATGTATTAATTCAAATTATGGTTATTTATCATTTATTACAATATATAAATGCTTCATTTTGAATTATTGCATTCATAATTACATTCCTTGGCTTTTCATTTTGTTGGATGTTCCATTATTTCCCCCGGAGCTTTAATCGTCCCATACTTGCTCATGTCTAGCAGAGATCAGAGGACTGAACATCTGCTGCGGTTAATGCAGTACGGCTAGCTGTTATTTCATCAATTTTACCCCACCTTATAACCTGCACTGTTATTATTTTACTTGCACCCCAGCAAAAACTGAGACACTACAACCACATACACTACAAATGAGAGCTACATGATCGATGCTTGTGTCAAATGCAACTGGAAATAAAAGAACACCAAATGAGTTGTAGGAAGTTATCGCTGGTTGATTTTTCCAGATATCAAAACATTAAAGGGATAGTTCACCCATAAATGAAAATGCTGTCATTAATTACTCACCCTCATGTCGTTCCAAACCCGTAAGACCTTCGTTCATCTTCGGAACACAAATTAACAATTTTTTTTTGCTAAAATCCACAAATTAGTTTTTTTTTTTTTATAAAAACGACAATGCACTAGTGTAAACATTTATTTGTCATTTTTTGCGATATTGTTAAAGGGGTCATGAACTGAGAAACCAAAAT